CTTCACCCTGTCTGTGGCAAGGAAGGAAGAGACCAAGTGAGAAGGCAAGTGAACACCCAGGATGTCTTTATAAGACCCACTGCAATCCTACAATAGTTAGTGAAGAGGAAGGATGGGAAAAAAACTGACAGAGGGAGGGACTCATTTCCTTTTTTAGTGCCATCACTTGCCTTGCTCATATTGAGCCCTTCCTTCATAGCACATCACTATATCTAAAGCTTCTCAGCAAAGGGGGACAAGGCATGGGGATAAAATATTACAACCACCAGGAGGAGGTCAGACATGAAGACACCATCATCCAGGATGGTGGATATGCACAACAAACCCATCACCAATTTGTGTGAGAGAGAGCCAGCAGCAAAGCTGAAAAGAGGTCATCACCAAGAAACCTAAAACAGATTTGTTCTGCTTTTCTGAATGGAAGGACACAAACAAGAAATGAAACACCCAGTCATGATAATATAAAATATTACTTTGTACTCAAGAGCTACTGCATGCCAGGTTGGAATAACATTGTAAGTGAGCCAGTCAGGCATCATGACCAACTGATAATATCTATAAAGCATTGAAGTAACCAAGACAAAACAGCAAAGCAAAGAGAAGGGAACTGAGAAGTCAGAAAAATAAGACCAAGCATGCAAAGTTCAAGCAGTAGTGCCTTACCTGCAAAGCAGAACAGCCCCTTTACACGTGCTATGACCACCAATATAATGACAATTGCCAAAGCAATCACGGCTATCACCACTCCTGCAATCACTCCTGCATCCATGCCAGCTGTAAGGAGAAATATACCAGTTGGCATTAGTAATTTTCTTTCCTCATTGACTAGTAAAATTCTATGGTTAACCCCTTAAATGGACTTGCCACATATGTGCAGTCTGGCACCTGCCTTCTCTCAATGGAATCACCGCACATATGCGTTCAAAAGTTCCCAGTTAAGGGGTTAATGTATCCAAATTATACTAACCTCATAGCACATGCCTGAGTCTACTATTGAATCAGATTCCCCAGTCAAAGGGTAAAAAAAGAATATTTAATTGGGTATGGAATTTAAAGTTATCAACTCTGGTTCCCTCTAGTGTGATAAGTACAGGGTAGTCCAAAAGTCATGATTGGATTGGCTCTATTGCATGGTAACAGTAAAAATTCATGATTTCAAATAATTGTATTGCCTAGTATTAGTCCAAACTATTCAACAGATTACACATTTATCCATGATGTTCATTCTGCTCAACACCATCCATGTTGAAACATAATCCTGCACATTTAACTTTTATCATAACAAGAGTCATGACCACACACACAAGTGTGGTGAACATAATGGCATCCACACAGAAACTATTGATTTTTGAATCATGCACATTTTAATATGATGTGTTGTTAATCTGCTAAAGTAAATAAATATCACTTGTGCTAAATACTGTTTATCCAATTATGACTTCTGGACCACCCTGTACAAAAACATCTGGGTTTCCAGGAAAGAAGAAAATTTAAGTGCACTGTGTAAATGGAAGGTTGAAAATGAGATGAAAAATCCTAAATCTACTCCAAGCAGCCACCACAGAAAGCTGACCTCTTCTTCTTTTCTCTTTGGCTATGCTACTGTAGATCACAACCTAGTGGGCCACCTCAGATGCGAGAGGAGACGCAATGACAAATGACAACCTACGTTTCATTTATGAATATTTCTCTTGGTTGGAATAATATAGGCAATAAGAACAAAGTTAGCATTAATTCTGCCAGCCACTGGCATTTTTGCCACCAAAGATATACAAAAAGCCTGACACCATTAATCAGATCTGGGAGGCTTTATGAATACTATTTCATGTGATATCCCCAACTAACAGCATAATGAATGAGTCCTGTTTGACTTTTGATTATGGCACTATAATTAAAAATGCTAGGCATAATACCTGTCTATATCCTCCTAGTGCCCAACCATCATCTGTTCAAAATCTGCCATCTTGGAGATGCTTGACAGATAATTGCATTTCATTTGGTTTAATAATATGAATTATTAGCAATTATTTATATAATTTAGTAATGAGTGTCAATGAAGTGACTACTCCCTTTATTGAAAATAAAAAGTGATAGGTCATAAATGTGACCTGCAGGCATTACAAGGATATTCAGAGAATTGGCCACCATAGGAAACAAAAGTTATCTGCATAATACTCTTGTATTTAAGCTATATCTAACCATCATGTTGGTGTCAGTTTGGTATTTAAAACTTGATTTGTCATGCACAAAGTTTCATGGTTCAATATGAGATATAAAAATTGAATGAAACACACAATCCAAGCCCCACTGGTAATGACAAGAAGTTGAGCCAATTTTACCCATTTAATCATGAATTAATTCTAGCTCATTTCTCTATGTTCTTTTTCCATGAAAACAAGAATAGAGTTCAACCACTAATTTCAATATCCTTCTCATGAAGGTCTTAGCTACAAATACACAACCAAATGGGTGCCATTGTTACAATTGAATGAAAGAATGGTAGACCCCCAGCTTCAGGACAATACCTCATGATGAATTTATAGGTGAAATACATGTAAATGGAGAAGTAATTACTTATGGTGGAAAGGTCTTCCTGAGAGCAAGGACTCCTTCAATCACCAACAATGAAAAACTTCAAGATAGGTTGCCAGATTTCCAAATGAAAATAGAGTGAAAAGAAAAAATTCTCAAAGAATCTTTATGAAACAGAACTTTGTCCTACATTTCTTTTTTGTGGACAACTTCAACTTAAGAAATATATATCACCTAGAATTAAGACTATAAATGCCTATATAAGATAGTGCAGGGGCCTCCTCCATAAAGGATGAGACCCCTGAGTCATCCTGCTGATAGGATTAAATAATTAAGTGCCACTCCATAACCAAAAGTTCTTTCTCATATTGCAGGGCACTAAAAAATGTAATGCAAATTGCACAAGTTAATATTGCAAGTCAACTAGAGTTCCTCTACATAAACATAATAAAATTTCTCCTATTGGTACAATATGCATCACGAAATCATGTCAAAGCTGCCAACAGAATTGGTGGCTTTGACACTGACAATAAAATTGGGTATTATTCTCACCTGCAGGGGGTCTGTCCCCAAGTTCAACCCTAAATTTAAACTCTGTGAATGGCTCTTGTGCATTTGGGGAAACAGAGGAGGAGTAAAGTCGAAGAATGTATCCATCAGTTGCATCTTCACGGCCCACTGGGTCAATAGTCAATGTGGTCTCATACAGATCATTCCTTGCACCCTGAAATAAAGGAACCAGCATTGTAAGTTATTAGCAATCAAATATTCTGTTATCGAGGTCTCCAAGGAGTCCAACAGTTTCAGTTGGCAAAAAAGCAAAAAGGCATGCATCATTACTTTGAAATTTCTATAAATCAGGCACCAATGTAAATTCACTTCAAGGGGGTTTCTCACACAAGGAACATGTTCCATCAATATTTACAAGGAACCCAATGATCATCCCACGGGAGGCCTTTGCTGTCATTCAAACATTTTGCTTTTTATCAAGTGCTAAATGTATAGAGCTTCTTCACCAGAGCCAGACTTAATACATGGAACACTCATACCATGTGGGTTAAGTGGATTTTTTAAATGTGGCCTGCAACACCCAACCTCAGAGTTTTAGTAATAAAAAAAACTGCAAAAAATAAAATAAAATCCTACTTTATTATTCTACATCAAATTGGAATTACTTACAGGCCATGTGGTACTCAAGTTACTGTACTGAGTTATTTCAATCTTGGTTCGGTGCCAAGGCTGCATTTGGCCTCGTGAAAAAAGAGCACACACCTAAATTGTCACAGGCCAATTTTTAAATGTCCACTTACCCATGTTTAAACTAACCCATCTTCCCTGCTACCTTTATTTTCAGAAGACTAGTGACTAAAGCCAGTCACATTTGCCAACTCTTGTTCAAAATTGTGGAGATCATTTTGAAAATTTTCCATTGATTTTGTCAGTTAGTTTTCAAAGCATTTACATGCATTGATGGATTCTAGCTCTCTTTTTGTTTTGATCTGGTGGAGAATTGCTGCTATGCCCTGAAAAAATGTCTTCACCTTACTAGTATATGAAGCTTCCCATCATTGCAGTAATGAATAACTTGTATCTATAACTAATTTATTTCTGGTAAAGCCACCTGATTCAAGAGGCAGTATTCATTATTTTTTCAAAGTAACTGTAACTGCAACTATTTACACCTTACACAACCTGGCTGTCTCCCAACAAGTCCCTGTGGTAAGAGTGTACCTACATTCAGAATAAGCCATGAGTTTAAGTTTCCAAGCCATGATCCTGCACAAGAATTGTGCAAGATGAAGTATCTTTTTCCAAGAGTAGTCTTACCGGAACATGAGTGACAGGACCAGCCTTGACCTTCCCCTCTTCTTGCCCACTATTCAAGGTAATGTCATTGCGAATGATCCACTGAACCTCCCTTTGTGGAGCAGAGATAGGTGGATTGGCAAGAAAATAGACAGTGATCTCTCCTTTTGTGCCTGGTGGTAGATAAAACTTATTTCCATGGGGGTCGAAGTTCTTTGTCTTCCAGTCATCCATATGCACCACTGGGACATCTGTCAAGGGCAAGATGAGCACAAATATCAACTCAATGCAAAGCAACTTCAGAGCATGGATGGCTAGTCTTCAGCTGCAGACACTGTAGCATTCAAACTGCCCAACATGATACCCAGTGGTGTGTTTTGCCCACTCACATTGTACTTCCAATTTAGCAGATGCAGAATTATTGGCAGGATGAAGCAGCATGTGAGTCACACGGCAAACCAACTTTCTCCCATTGTCCAGAGGAGAGAAGACATGACTCAAGGTGGCATTTACATTATAGACCATCATCTGCTGCACTCCTTGATTCTGCATTCCTGGGTAAGAGGTAAAGTCAGCTGAGACAAAAGTTTTGGTGTGGAGGAGCTCTGGGTGAGACGGCGTCAAATGTTCTTCACTCCCATCTTCCCTCACTGAAATGATAGAATTAAGGAATCATCATCAACTTGTCCATAAAAAAACTGTTCTATATACTAGGATATGAAAAGCAAAAAATTGGATAGCATAAATACTAAGTCAGAAAAATAGTATGGAGGAGTAATGTGAAGCTGCGCCAGCTGATCAGTTCACACTTATGAGAATTCAGACAGATTAGTGCATGGAAACGTGAGAGATTACTCACCAATGTACCATTGGATGCTCTCGACTTCAGGGCGAATGCCCTTCACCTCACAAGTGAAGTTGACTGCATTTTGAGCCTGAAGGATTTCGTGGTAAGCATCCTTTCGAACTTCAGACACCTCAATAGATTCCGGCGGTCCTGCAGAAGAGAAAAATATCACTTAGTTACGGGACTAACACATACAAGAAACATTACTTCCCACGCAACTGAGGAATAATCCTCAAATAATCTACTACACGAGACATGGCTGCATTGTCATGTGCATAAAAGTAGTAGAGATAAAACCAATCAGATTACTCACGTGCTACAAGAATATCAATAGGGTCGCTACTTTTCGAATCGCCACCACTCAAGAAGGGGATGCAAGTCCATTTCCCACTCTCGAAGTCACTGGCACTCTTGATTCTGAAAGTGCACTCTTCCGTACTACCGCTGCTCACACTTTCATAAAAGTTAGGGAATGAGCCCGGCACGAAGGATGATCCATTTGGGGGTCTCCAGGTGCAGAATTTAGTTGTATCTCCAGTGACTTTACAGTGCATAATGATTGACTGGCCAGGGAAATAGGGACCCGAGGGTTCTGCATATGCTTCCACACTTGCTTCACCATTCGCTGTTGACATGAAATTAATACAATTTTGAGAAACAACACTAAGTCATTGTTTCATATTCAGATGCGTATTTTTATGGGAGCAACTATGGCCCGAATGCTGAAACCTCATTTGACTATCGGTCTCCTTAAAAATCCATGGATTCCTAAGGGGCAAATGGAGCCCTTTAGCTTAAAGACCCCTTTACCTCACTTGAATGAGGTTTCAGCATCCAAGGCTAAATCAGCAAGTTGAGAAAACGTCGATGCTACCAACTGAAATGGGGATATGATTCCATATATATCTTGCGATTAAAGCAACATGTATATCAATTTTTTATTGTCCATCAGGAAAAGCAAGATCAAGTCATAGTAAGAAAAACAGTACTGCCCAGGGGCACAAAGATGAAGGGAGTCAACGCAAGTGGCGCACCCAGAAGGTCACGAGAATAAAGGAAATCCCTTCTGTCATGCCCATTTCCTGCATACACTTGCAATTGGCGGGCTACGCCAATGCTAATGACAGTAATTCAAGTTCGACTTTGTTGCAACGGTGACCATTCCAAATTTGCTCACTATGGAGAATCTCAATCCCAGAACTGGCGAAGGGCAAAAAGGTGAAGTAGGGTAAAAGGTGTGAGATTGGTGCAACTGATTGCGCAGGCAAATCTTGGTCAATGGAACTGAACTACTAGAAGCAAATTTTGGAGCATCATGTCCAACAACGGGTGGAAACACGAATTAAAGAAATTGTGATATGAAGGCTCGGCCTACTTTTCCTGCAATAGTGTAACATGTATTCATAGAGTGCGTCGAGAGCGTAATGTACATAGCACGATACAAGACGTCGTCTTTTTTTTCCTCTCTTCTATTCCATAGGCTTTGCCAGCCACTCAACATTAGTAGCTTATCGAGGGATCAGCACGCAAACTCCCCTACTCTGAGAGTTCATGTAACGAACACCGGAAGAGAGCAATCTTGTGGAAGACCCTAGAGGAAGGAAGAGAGAGGGAGAAAGAACTATGGAACCTCAATCGTAGTTCACCTCTCCTCCCTCCAACGACCGGTTCACTTCGTTTTTTGCATGGAAGGAGGGAGATGGACTTTGTAAAACCTGTACCTTATCACCGGTTCCACTTCCCTCAAGTAGCTGGTTAATAGGGTTTGACCTTGGGCATGCGACCTCTCTTCCCGAAGCCTCACCTTTGTAACCCGATGAGAGACAAATCGGTGAAGAGAGGAATGCTGTGAAGTCGATCAGGTGACTTGGCCCCTAATTGCCTCATCAATCACCCACTGAGAGGGAGGGAGAGACTAAAAATATCCAAGAATCTTTGTCATCTTCAGAGGCACCTTTAATGAAACTGCAGGTGCCCCTTCAGCGTCAGTGGATCGAGGAGGCCAACTGCTTCACGAGGTAATTGCGGGTTGAACCGGGTTCCCTTTCTTATATCGACACAGGATGCAACAGGTGAGAGTTACGTGGGAACGAGTAGCAACGACCATGATGATGGCAAGGGAAAAGAGGAAAAGGGGGATGGCCATTTTCCACAAAGAGAGGGAAAAAAGAGATTTCTCCATCCCCCCCCCCCTCCTTGCCCGGAGGCTACGGATATACATGTCCCTCTCTCCGATTCCCTCACATAATAATCCTCATGCATGATGGGCAGACGGGAGGGGACCATGGGAAAATACGGCCCAAAGCACCAAACTGGATTCGAGATATGGTCAAATACACCAATATCCAATAGTCTGTACCTTTACCTTGTCAGGTTATCACCTGCCTACCCCTTAGGTTAATGACATACATTAGGACTAGAGTAACGGTTTCCTTGCCTCGTAAGTTCGGTTAGAGTAGAGGGATATATATTTGACGTCGAAAAGCAAACATTGGGGTCAATGATATGCAAGGGGGATATCGTGCTTTCATAAAAGCTCGACAAACATCACCTATGAAGCATCTAAGTTTACAGTAGGACTGGATTAACAAAAATCATTGGAACGTGGAAATTCCAGTGAATATGGAAATAATAAATTTGACTTAGCCCTTTTAAATTTCTCTTCCTGGCTAACCTGATGCTGTATCTTGTAAGTTGCTTTGTATTCATTCATGCGTTTAAGGGAACTGATTGGAGTCGAAAAACAATATGAGTCTTCACATGAAGGCCAGCTCGCTGAGTAAGTATAGTCTCATTAAGCTCCTTTTATGGACGCTACTCGATTTCTTTTCCTCAAAGATGCTTCGGTCAGTATACCGAATCGTAGAAAGGGAGTACTGTGTCATGTGACGTGGATCGACCTTCATGAAGTACAAAAGCGTCAGGGAATACTTTCTCGATAAGAACGGCCGCTTCCTCCCATCACGTGAAACGTAGCAGGCGATGAATAATTCTTCTGTTTTTCCTTATCCAGCTTTATGAATCCCTAATGCGCACACACTCCGATTGGCTGCAGCCTCTACTGCGTGGAAAGTGAATGTAGGGGAGGTGAGAACCCGTTTGTTGTATAGGTAAGGTTATGTTTTCCTTTCGCGTTCCTTCACTCTTCCACGCGAGTATTCTGTTTTTCACGGAAAATTCTGCTTTCACACAGACTAAAGTGCCGGAGTTAGAAACTGTAAGGTTTAGTCCTCCGTCTACTGACTGCCCAGGCAGGTAGGGTTAGAGATACAAATTACTACCCCCTTAAGCTTAAAATCCGCCCTCACCTACGTCCTCCCTTCACCTTTTGGGATCTATCCCAATCGAGGAGAAAATTCACACACTATCCACTCAAGTTTCGAGACCGGACATTGATGCAATTTTGTTGGAAAACATTGTTTGGATTTATTATTACGGTGAATTATGTAACGTGGAGGGCGGACTTTATAGCAGAGTCTGAATTCGTCTCACCTACCTTAGAACCCAATATATACACTTGTCTGCCAGGCAAATTTCGCCACAACGGCTCTAATACCTATTGTCTCCAACAAGACAGTGGTGTTCCGACACCGACAAGGACTCCCAACGCTACGCACATACACATTTTGATCAGGATGGGTTTCCACTTTCTGAAGTAAATCTGAGGGTGGCATCCATTATTACTTCATTCATTCAGTCACGTTTTGGCGGCCCTGGTGAATTTGCGCCCTGTGCGGGGGCTGTACACCGTGTGGGACGTACCTTCACATCTTATAGAGCACATGTAAACTGCACAAAGTACAGCGTTTATAAGGGAGGAAAAGAAATGGAAAGAGAAGACGATAAATACACTTCCCTTTTGGCTGCCAAGAGCAGTTTCACTGCATTGTACACAACATGTTAGGAAGGAGTATGGAAGTTGGCTGTAACCCGAACCACGCCCCCCCTCCCTTGTCTGACCTCATTTGTTTCCCGGAGGCCCTCTACAACGCGGAGGGGACTACCTCTCTCTCATATGTTTCTTTTTCGTTCCTCTTTCTCGACTGCACCATGAAGTTCTTTACCCCGCGTTCTCCTTCCATCCTGATTTTCCGATCCCGCAATCTCAGAACAATGCCGGTGGATTTTATACGCGAGCTCACTGCATTGCATCGCATTGCATTCCAAGCCAGTCAAGTGCTTCCTTGTCTCCATCTCCTTTTGTCTTCCTGTCCCATCTTCTCGACAAAATGACGTCACGAGTTCGATTCTCACGACACCTCGAGTGAATGACCCCCGTTCTCTTCTCTTGAGCAAATTACTAGTTTCTTCGCCTCTGTGAATGCATGCATGTACACAGTGTGTGTACACGGACCCGGAGGGTCGTAGTTCACGAGGTCGCTCGCCTCCGTACCTAGCGGGTTAACCAAGGAGGAGGGAATGAAACCCAAGTGAGAAGTGGGAGAAAAGAGGTTATATAGCGCACTACAGAAGGGAGGAAGTTATTACTGATTTAATACTTTCATATCACATCCGATGATAAAGATGCCGGCACACCTGAAGGAGACGAGAAATAAAAAGGAACACCCGACATCCGTGCTAGTCTGTGGAGTTCAATGGCCCTTCTCCTCCTCCTCTCCTTCCAGGATTATTACAGGATAGCAGAGAAGCGGGCCTGGCAAGCCCAAGGCAAGCTTCTCTCCGAATGCCCTCAGATAGCCCTAGGGGATCTCAACAGACAGGGCTGCTCGATGTTTATTTTTTACCACCTGCCAGGTTAGCTTGGACATGGAGGAAAAGCGGGAGCTGGGAGGGCCTTGTCCTATACAGATCAATATAGAAAGGGGAGTCATATATATTTAAGGCCCGCATGCGATGCTGATCGTAATCTAGGACTCCAATGGGGGGATTTGGTCGATGACATTCAGTCGAGCAAATCGGTGCAAAGGATCTCCGTCGGTGATCATATCAAGGGACAAAGGAATAAAAAGGAGGGAACGAAAGAAACACCAGCAGAGATGTGAATTCACGTGACCAAGTCTCTCATGGAAGATTCTGCCTCCCCTCCCCTCTTCATAGAACGTTCTTGCGTATCGCGGATGGTGCTCCTACATTTACAGGGAGCGTGGTGATTGCGCGAACAGTGTAACGGGACAGGATCGTTGGCCGGACTTCTAACGGTTCCCTTATTTCTCATCTCGGGGACCAGGGAAAGGAACCCGTCTCATGAAAACACGTTCGGGAACCAAGGCTCCTTATAACCTGCCTATTGCTTACGACGATGGTTTCTTCGAGGCCCCCAAGGAGAAAGACAAAGGAGGGAAGCCGGCGGAGTGTGGCATAGATAATGACTGGCAAGGAAGGATTCAGAGGCAACCATGGAGTTCTTTCCGTGCACGAAACGACCCTGGCCAAACCAAGAACCCGGAAAAGGAAAAATCAAGCCCTGCTGCACCCACCATATTCCATTGAAGAACAGAAAACAGGTTCTGTGTGACCTCATGCAATGAGTGCACTTTTAAAACGTGACCACCCATGCTTGACAATCGCACTCTTCACTCCTTTCGTGCGAATGCACGAAATGCTCATGTATACTAAAAACTCACTCCATACATCGATGAATACCTACTGAACGATGTCGAATAGGTCATTCACACCATTGGACTTAAGTACTGAAAAGTGGGCAAGTAAGAAATCAAAGCGGCGTATGAAACCCCCAGTGTTTGCTTGAATAGGCCTTTTTCCCTCTCTGCAGCAAGGCAACAGAGATATCGGTACAAGCCCTCATTCTCATTCCTTCATGGAATTGGGCCATTGATACTGTAGAAAGTCAGACTTCGCTCTCCTTCCACAATATGCGCTCATTATATACAGGAAGCATCCCTGCTTTTCGTTCTCCGTGACCATTGCATCAGTGAATCAGTATCGGTAGAAACCGGATAGGAGTTCCCTTCCCAATCCAGCATTCCACCGCAGCTACGTGGTCGACGATAGCTGACCATAATTGTACTGCAAGTAAACTATTAACTGACGTTTTTCGCGAGAACGCTTCCTTCTAGTCTTCCTCTCTCTCGAGTTTAAATACCCTTCCATTCCTACTCGCAACATTTTTACTGGAGCAAGGAAGAGTATATTATCCGACTGAGCCTCCCATCAGTCACGGATGTGTACTCGCCATGAGAGAAACATCTTATCAGCACCTGATAAGGCCTCGCCGAAATGAAATCTCGCTCTTCGTCTCACTCCGCTGATCACGGTGAAAAACAGGACTATTCATGGATTCGTCCTGAGACCCCACTCCAGATAACCACAGCTAGTGTAACCAATGACCCTGTTATACAACACTACACTGGTACATGCTCTCTTGTCTTGCCCTCCTACTTCACGAAATTAAAGGTGTTTCTAATTTACGTTATTTTCAAGGACACGCTTTTAAAGTTCTACTCCACAAATTAATCATGCTTCATCGTTGACTTCGGTGCTATTCATTCCATTTGAAGAGATTTATAAACTAGAGGTTTG